CTTGCAGAAATCCAGAGGACACCACTCTAATTGAATTATCTTTGAATGGTCCTCCATTCTCCACTTTTGGCCTCCACTGGAGGAATGCAATTTGGTGCCCCTACACAGCCCGTAGCAACCAGGAGTGCTTCACTTAGCTACAAATTACAAGTCAGCAAAGAAATTGTGACTTTTTAGGCTTAAGATCTGACAATGGCTATAATTTCGTCTCACCTTTCTTTTCAACAAATTCCAGTAGATGAGGACTGCACAAAGTGAATGTCAAAGCCAGTAGTATGTCCCTACTGATATTGCAGACCTTGTAATACAATTATCAGCAGAAAGTCTTAGTAGTGACCTTTGGATTAAGTATCCAAGGCTTTTCTTGGGTACATCTTATCTTTCTTATGTTGTAGCTTTTTCTCTGACCATGTGTGACCTTGTCAATACAGTAAGAATATGCCAAAAACAAATAAGTTAAAATAATCGTGTATGTTAAAGCAATGATTTAAGTTAGTATTTTATTATTACTCAGTAATCTTTAGTTTGTTTTCTAATATGTTTAGCTATAGTATCCTAAGGGTCATACTTTTACCTCAAATAATTATTGAAGGTTAATATAATTTAATATAGGATCATAGTGAATATATTATTGAATATAGGACTATAGTTTGGAACAGAGGATAAATCTGTAATGTAAAAACATCTCACTTCACAACCACTTTCTATACAAGATTCTTACAAACAGAACTTTTTGAGCTTTTTTTAAAAAAAAAAAGTGTATAATATCATATGTTTTCTGTTTTACAGGAGATGATTTTCAAGGTAGCAGAGTGTAGCAATTTTTCCCTGTTGTTCCATTTATATCTGTGTATTCTCGTAATGCTGAAAAGCCGATGTGTCCATGGACTATTGCGTAGTTCTGTGAACCTCAGGACTTCACTGTCCTACCCACTGTAGTTTCCTTGGCCAGAAATTCCTTCTCCTCCGCATTGCCACGTCACAGCTTCGCCCCTGCAGCAGGACCCAACTCTGAAGTCTCTTTCTTGGGGAGCTTCCCTCATCCCCTCCAATGAGAAGAGATTTGTCCCTCCTCTGATTTCCTTATTTCTTTGCTGCTTTTTACGTTTCTATTCTCCACTCTGGATTACTATTGAATTGTCTTATCTTCCCACCACCATTCTTATATGAAGGGTCTTTGTTTTTAATCTTTCATAATATGTAGCACATGACAACTGGTAAATAATTCCTTGTGGAATAATCAGAGCTTCCCCTTGTTAATCTGTTTTTATGGTAGTTCATTTGACATCTGTTTTATTTGGCATTTCAGTGTAAAGAGTTTTTCTGAAAACTAACTGACCTGTTTCCCATATCACACTGAAATCTAAAGTCTTGGGAAGAAAAACAGATGCCAGTAATTTTAATGATGTACTTTCTTTAATTAAGGGAACAGTTCCAATTACTTTTTAAAATGCAAAAAGATTGCTTCTCTTGGTAAATAAGTAGTTGAGTACTTTGGAGAGAGTGCATTGCCTTTCCCCAGCTACTTTGTGAGTTTGTGCATGGACTCCTCATTCTGTACAACACAAACACAATTCAACGTCATTTTCTAAGATGCTAGCCACCTCTCTGAAGTCCAAAATAGAAATAGGATAAAAACCAGAAATAGAAGCACAGTGAATTTTATAATTTCCCATTAATTATGTTTTTATTTTTAGTACAGTGTATTATTTCAGTCTTTACTTTCTTTTGTTTGGAGCAGTGGGTTCATGAGAAATGTAGAGAATCTGGGAAAATGAAGACCTTTAATAACAAAGATGGACATGAATAGAAGAAAAAACTTCAACTTGCCATTTCCTGTCAAAACTGTTCCTCTGCCAGTAGGTGGGCATGTAACTATTGGAGTGAACTCTCAGAAAAGTACCTAGATATGAATGAATGCTTGAGTGGAGATTAGTATGGTTCTTTAGGTAAGGTAACTCTTTTATTCTGGCAATTCTTGTCAAGAGATTCCTTTGGTCACTGCCAGTTTGGGGCACAAAAATATTTGGCAGGAAGCAGAGAGCAAGTCATTAGCACTAGACAAATTTGTATCTGTTGATTATTCATTGGAATAGAATGTGAGCCTGTTTGGTCAACGAAATCTCTTAGAAGTGATACAAAAGCCATCGTTAATTGGACTTGAGTGTGTTCCCCAGCTCATGTGTTTTCTGGCTCTTGTCTTATTTTTTTCACTCCTCAATTAAGGTAATTTCTAGATAATAATAAATCACTAGGTTAATCTTGTTCTGTTTAACAGTATCTCAGTTTCATTTGAAGATATGCCCAGTGTTTAGAAGCTGTAGACACTGCCTCAGATACAGTACTGAGGATAGCAAAGCATTACTACCAAGAATACCAAAAGAGAATTAGAAAGATACCAAATGTAAGTCCTGCTGTCTTAATTTCACGATTTTTTCCCAAACAGAAGTCAGCAGAAGCTAAGAACCCTTCTTGTACTTCTTTCCATGCCTCAGAACTCAAAAGGAAAGTGTATTGTGGTTATGGAGAGTTCTTTCCATCTTGGCAACCAGTGAGGTGTCATTTAGCTAGATCTTTGTACCAAGTGTTAATTGATGCTGTTACTTTCTACAGTGATGCCAGGGAATAGTAATGAGAAAATGACACTACGCTTATCTCGTTCTAGGAAGTTTTCTAAAGCAACATTGCACTGTTCAGTATACTTGGAAGGATGGTTTATTAGTAGGTCTCCTCATAACTTGTAGAAATTGTTTTATACCTAAAAAGTGGTTCTTTCTTAGCTATGCTCTAGAGGGATCTGGCCTACAGTATTATGTTAGTATATTTCCCATGAATTAAGTAGATATTCCCTACTAATAGAAACTTCTGCTAAAATAAAAACTTTCACTGAGTCGTTAAAAGAATTGTGCTTTCTTTGTAATTTTCCATTTCTAATAAAATGTTGACAGTATAAATACATGTGTGTATCATGTGTAGGCTGTTAGTTAAATAGGGGTATACATATAAACATTTTCAGATCTACAGAATGACTTCTACACCTACCTGTGTGACTTTTCATAAGTTATGTAAATTCTCTGCATCTGGTTTTCTGTTGGTAAACTACTCACTCATAGTAATACCTACCTCACAGGGTATTATAAGCAACAAATGAGCTAATACATTTAATGTGTTTAGAACTGTATTTGGCACAGGTTCAATAATATTCGTTGCTATTATTACTTCACAATATCAATTTTTAAATTATCAGGTTTATGCTTTCTTTCTTAGATATATTTATATCTACCCTACTACAGTAACTGGATTTTTCTTTCTTTCTTAGTTAGTAATAACTCAAGTCCTTAAAGTAGTGTTATACTCTTCTCCTCCCTTGTAATTGTATGTTGTTGTATGTTGTTTTTTTTAGCTTGACAAAGAACAAAATGAGAAGTCCTTGAGAAAGCCAACTAAGTGCAATGAGAAGTCCCTAATGACCTAAAAAGATATTTATGAAAAAATATTCAGGAAGTTAGGGAGTGTGACTATCAGTTCAAGGCTATAGCTCTTGGGTGATCAGAGTTATATGCTGAAAATCTTCAGGTGAAATACAGAATTAAAACCTGATAACTCCTGTCCAATTTCACTTTTCTCTCCCTCCTTACACACACACACACCCCATCTGTACTCTGCTTGCTGGGAAAAACAGATAGAAACATTAGTATGATCATTTCAAATACATGGATACATAAGGAAAACTGATATAAAAAAGTTTTTGGCAGCACTCCCACTGCCCACCTGTGACTATGCAGGTGCTTCTTTTCACCAACTCTCTCTCCCTCTGCAGGGCAGCAGCCTCCTGCCTGCCCGTGACCTGTATCATGCCGGGTCTTCTTTTCATTGACCTCCCTCAGTGGAGGCCGCTCTCCTCAAGGCCACCCGCCTGCAACCATGCAGGCCTCTCTCAGCAAACCTGTCCCTTTCCCTTTCCCTAATAAACCTGCTCTTTAAATAAAAAAAAAAAAAGTTATTACTTTGGAAGTCCTCTAATAACTTGTTTTACATGATAAGTTTATCATCCATTTCACCTTTATATCTATGCTAATATGCTAAATAATACATGTTTTACTCCTTTTTTTTTTTTTTTACCAAATGCATGTTTATACTCACAGGGTCTAATCAAAATAAAATTAAAATGAATATACTTAGATTCTTTTGCTAAATATGCATTAGGAGATGCCAAAAACCAAAATCCTTTCTCTTTAAGCAGAGGGGAATTTCCCAAATATTAGTAAATTGGCTGTTTTCTTCTTTTGCCGTAATTTGTTTTTGTCTTGAAAATCTTAAATAGTCTCTTATCTTGATCTCTTTTCTTCCTTTTGATCTAGTATTAAAATTATAGTTTTACCTTTGCTTTGTGGATAAGTGAATGTAACACTATTTTGACTTCACAGTCACTTCTGAGAGCAGAAGCAAGGAGAGTTTTGACCTCCTTTTTAGTTTACATTATGGCTGACCTGGACTCATCAAAATGATGCATGAAGTGCATGTAGGTGACTCCAAAGTGTAGATCCATTTCCACTCACTAGCAAGTTGCTTTGTCACATCAGTTGCTCTTTTTAGCTGAAGGGAAACAATTTGGAATTGTTGTAGAAAGACATGCCTGGGTAGAACACACAAAGCAACTTGCTGCTGGCCAAATGTTTTAAAAGTAACCCTAACAGGCCATGCTGGGAAGACACTGATGGCAAAGCTTGCCTTTGTCACAGTTTTTCCCTGGCCCTGTCATCCACTTAGACGGTGTCCGGTTTTTAAAGACATCGAGTCTTCTGTGTTGTGTGGAAGGTTTCCGTATGCAAAAACTTCCTTAGATACTGGTCTATCACTTCATTAAATGCCAGAAGCATAGTTGAGTGCTGAGTTGTAAATGTCTGTGGTGCCTATGATTGGGTGTATTTTTTTCCTGCATGATCATCCATTGTGTTTGTAAGTAGCAAAAAATGAGCCTGATTTGTTCTCCTTTGTAGAGCCAGGCCGAGGCCCACTACAAAGGAAGTAAACATGCCAAGAAGGTCAAAGCACTAGAGGCAACGAAAAATAAACCCAAAATGGTTTCTTCCAAGGACAGCGCAAAGGCTAATCCCAGCTGCTCCATCACTCCAATCACAGGCAACAGCTCTGACAAATCAGGTCAATGACACTTTTTGTTCTTTGCATTCTTTGTGCTGTTCCTCGTCCTCTGCCCCACCCCATTCTCCTCTCCTCAGCTGCTGCATGTGACTTTCCATGATTTGTTTTTATAATATTAATATGTTTCCTTCACAGCAAGGGTTGTATGTTTGCATGGTATCTAAGCATTTGATCCGTTACCATCCCATGTTGTTAAATATATACATTTAAGTATATATGTGTGTGTGTGTGTGTGTGTGTGTGTGTGTAAATGTAGCTAGAGATAATAAGTATTTATGCATGAAAATAAGTAGAGGCTATATTGTGTTCAGATTCCAAAAATCAAGAAATGGATCTAAAATACTGGCTTTATTTTTCCTTTATTCATCTTATGTTTGTTTTTTACTATAAACTTTTTTAGTGAAGGAACTATTAAACTTGTTTACTGATGAATTGTTTTTATTCTCTTACCCCTACAAAGGGGAGTGAAGGATCTAAAAGGTGAAGTTACTTAAATGCGAAGCATTTTTAAAGCAACCTGGTGATGAGTTCAATAATAAAATATTTTGATTTTTTGAGATCTTCATAGAATTCCCCTTAGAATTACAAATAGCCAAAAATTTTAAGGGAAATATTTATAGAAATTATGAATTGACTAACAGAAGAACTTTATATAGATGGAATTGGGCTTCTAAAGGAGGTATCTCTTAAGAAGACTTTGTATTTCATCAGTTTCATCATCTCCATGAATTTACAGTATTTCCTTATAGGCTCATACTAAATGATTCAGTGGAAAGAGAAAAAATTCATTTTTCTAGCATGTATATCATGAAAGTGATGTTGAACAGATTTTAACACATACACATCTACCATTCAGGGCATAAGAGAGATAAGTCATCTTGTTTCAGTGACTAATTTAGGAGCAGTGTCCACTAAAGGAGACTAAAATAATACATCCTTTCACTTATGTTTGACTCTCTCTAATGACCTCTGTTGTTGGAAACATGTACACAAAATTCTCACTCTTTCCCACTATCCATTTTGGTGTAGAATTTGAGTAGGAGATGTAAACATACTTTCCTTTGTATAAGGAAAGGCCCTCCAGGGTCTTTGGAGAAGAGCAATCCCTTTATTTAAGGGGAAGACTCAGAAAAGCTTAGGCAAAGAGACTATGGAAGATGTGATAGAATCATGTTATCTGATGAACAGATAATAAATATTGGAGTATTGTATCACCCTTCTTCCTTTCGAGAGAACAAAGACTTTCTATGTTTTTCTGTGTCTTTCTGACAGAAAGTCTCTGTTCTGTTATCTAATATTTAACCCATATCCATGAGATATTAAGGTCAAATGCTATATTTTGGTTTATAAAATAGCAAACAGAAGGGAGCTCCACATTGTGGCAATTATTTGCTGAAGGTGTTTGGAGAAACAGGATCCATCATCTCCTGAGTTCCTGGTTTAATTTTTTACAGGCTATTTTCTCTGTGAAACAATACTCTGTCAAATGTTTCGTTACCTGAATTATATTCTTTATTCACATAACTGGTCATAAGCAAAATGATAAAACAGTGGAGATTGGTATCAGTCCATTCTTTCAGCTTATTTTATAACTTCAGCTAATAGTACAATTGGTAGTTCCTGAAATTGTTCCAACATCACTGTATGTGTGCTCAATGCTCCTCAGGACCTCCCCTGGTGGCGCAGAGGTTGAGCACTGGGCTGTGAGGCTGCTGGCAGCCTCTGCAGGCCAATTCGTTCCCAGGCCGCCGGCGAGGGTCCCACCAAAAAAAAAGAATAGAATCAATATTTTAATTAAATGGAGAAACAAAGGCGTGGAAGAAAAGGAAAAGGTGGCAGAGGTGGGGAGGGGAGTCAAAGATTAGGAGATAAACCCCAGGAAAGAGCAGTATAAAAATAGAAATGCAAATAAAGATGCCTAAGTCACAAACACAGCATGCTTATACCTACACCCAATGAGCATATATTAAAATGAAAGTTTAACTCATCAAGGCTTTTATTCTGACTCTCCACTGCTAGAGAAAGCTCAGTGAAAGAGATTGCCTAAGCAGGTGTGTTTGCCTAGTGAGCAGTCAGAACACAGCAGAGTCAAGTGTAGCAGTGGTATAAACTCAGAAAGGAAACTGAGATCTAGAGGAACCCTAAAGGATAAAAGTGGAAATGAGGAATAATGCCTCAGTCAAATCTCTTCTTTAGTAACTACATGCAGGTCTTTAACCCTTCATCCTTTCTTTGCCACTTCCCTGTCCCTGTAGCTAAGTACCTGAGGTTCAACAGTATTGACCTCACTCACCATTTCACTGTCCAGACTTGGATTAGAAGTAACAAAACCTATCAGTAATTTGGGGTTACCTCATTTTCCATGTTTCCTTATTCAAAAATCTCTATGAATTATTTGGTAAACCATTGGCTGGATCACTCAAATTGCTTTTTTATAACTTCTCACTTCATATAAATAAATACTAAAGTATTTTAATTGTCCTATTATATCCACAAAAGCAGTACCAAAGCTGTTGAAAGATAGTACTATTTAAGGATAAAGTGGGCTGCATTTGCTAAATAGATATATGTTCTTTTGTCACCTTCAATTGATATGTCAGTTTCTCAACAAGAATTCCCACATATGTTTTGTAGAATTTTCAAGTTGGAAAATTAGAAGATTTGTCCAGATGGGAGATCTGGTCTAAATAATGTAATTCATAGCCTATTGTTAACCACCTATTTCTAAATCCTTAAAAAGCTCCCACAATTTTATCAGAATCAGAGTCTTTATGAGTAATAGATTATTATTTCATTTAAAGCTCTGTATTAGGAGAACAGAAGACATGAAAAACCACTCCTTCATAAATGATCTAGGTGGGATGTGGAGAGGAAGGTGGAGGGCAGAGATATGGTACCTCTGGAATTTAATTGACTGAAATGTCTTATTTTATTTTAATTTTTTAAAGATTTATTTATTTATACAAGCACTGGGTACAGTCAGAAGCACGGGAGGGTGAGAGAATTCACCAGAGCCAGAGCGGAGAGCAGAACAGGCAGACTGATGAAATACACTGCTGAGGGGAACAGCGGGTGGCAGGAGAGGTCTGTGCGCCATGTGGGACCCTCGGCTGGAGGCCGGGGATTGAACCGGCGCTGCAGACGCTGCGGGCAGCTTTGCAACCCAGTGCTCAACCGCTGTGCCACTGGGGAGGCCCTGAAATGTCTTATTTTAGACAACATTTCCTCTAAGGAGTCAAACAGACATTAGAGTAACAGTCACAGTGAGAAGTCATGGTTGACTGGCAATTCTTATGAGCCTGAAATTCCTGAGCTTTGGTCTTTTTTCTTCTGAATGAAGAGCTTCTGTCAAGTGGGCTTTGTCTGTTTCTATGTGATTCTTAGACACTTGAATGAAAAGTGAAATGTTAGTTATTACAGTTGATGTCTCAGCTACCAGATTTTAAATGTCCAGACGTTCACAGCATTCAATTCAATTTCCACACTCATGTTTTAGCATCAATAACTTAGCCTCAGAGAATTTGTTTAATGGGTGCAAATCCTGAGAGAGAGGAAATAGCCAGATGTTAAGAAGAGAACTTCTGGGAGAGTCACCCCTGGAATTCATTGAACATCAGACTAGTGTCGTGTGTGATTGTAGAGAATTTGACAAGGATCATGGGGTCCACAGATAATCTTTCTCTGCTCTTCAAGAGTACAGATTATTTCTTTTAAGAAATAGCCTAAAAATCTTCTAAGAACTTAGGGCCTCCCTGATGGCACAGGGGTTAAAATCGGCACTATCGAGATATTGCCAGCCACTTCTTTTTTTTTTTTTTTAAAGATTTATTTATTTTTATACCAGAGCTGGGGTATAGGCCAGAGGCGTGGGAGGGTGAGAGGATTCACCAGAGACAGAGCGGGGAGCAGAAATACACTGCTGAGGGGAGCAGCGGGCACGACAGGAAAGGCCTGCCACGCCGTGTGGGATCCTTGCCAGCCAGCCGGTATCGAACCCGCACTGCAGAGGCTGCGGACAGCTTCACAGCGCAGCGCTCAACCGCCTGCACCACCAGGGAGGCCCAATTGCCAGCCACTTCTGCATGAGTTTGATCCCCAGTCAGGGAGCTGACCCCCATGGCGCAGCAGACCCCTTCTGTCTTACCCGCTGCTTCCCTTAGCAATGTATCTCAGTAGATCTGCCTGTTCTACTTCCCACTCCGTCTCTGGTGAATCCTCTCATCCCCCCACCCACCTCTGGCCTACACCCCAATTCTTCTATGCATAAATAAATAAAAATATCTTTTTTAAAAAAAGAACTAGAAAAGTCTTCTTATCTGATCATTTGGTATTTGGAACAAGTTTTTTTTCTTTCTTACATGTTACACTTGGAGCCATAAATTTGGCTCATGTTATATCCAGATCTGTGCAATACAAAGAGATTTGTTATAATATGGAGCTATCACATGTAAGTTTTCAGGTATAAATTATATATATGGAGTTATCAGATATAAATTTTCAGGGTATAATAGCAAGCTTTTTTCATTCTCTCAGTTTAGTAAACAAAATGACTTTAAATCACACTAGCAGGAATTTCATTTATTATGAGAAGTTCTAACCACATGATTGAAAAAAATTAAGCATGTTTCATTAAAGACAGTTAAGTGAGAATAGCTGTCCCATTAACTTCTTAGAAGTTGGGGTAGAATTAACTGTAAAATCCAAAGTAATGGTTTTAAGGTCTCGTAGGACCTATTCAAACTTTTAATGATGCCTCAGTGGGAGTTCAAAACATGGTAGGAGGGAAGAGAAATGTACTTAGGGAGAATTGAGGTCAAAACACAGCAAGCATTAGGCAGCTTCAGGAAGATGGCTAGAACCCATTGACCAGACACTGTCCCCAAATTTCTCCCTGGAGTTTAAATGCCATAATGCCATATGATAGTAAACTTCCCTGTGATAATATTTTCCATACATCAAATTGAATGCTCTTTTGTGACAGGTTCAAAATTTACAGAACC